TAATTACTACAGCACACCACAGTTTTAAAAGTCTCTAGCAGAGAAGCTCCTTTTTACTGAACCCTTTTCACACCTGCCCAGCCCATTCTTCTTCATCCATAACCTAGCTAAAAGTTTTTTTAGCAGCATCAGCATTGAGGTTCTGGTGAGGGATTGTTGGAGAAACTCAGACTTTTGATATTGAGTTGCAGCACTTTCTCTGTACTAAACAATGCAATGAACCAATCCACTATACAGAAAAAGAGCAGGATTCCATTCTAGCTGATCTTACTATAGCAGTGTGTGTCTGCCTACAATAGGCAACGTAAATGGCAGCTGCCTCCAGAATGTCCTATTGAGCATGTGAAAACAGAGATAAAGAGAGAAAATATGAGAAGCCTGATTCAGCATCTCCACTCTGTGTGTCACAAAAACAAAGGTCTGTGTTTGTCCACCAAAATGGAAATTTTAAGAAAAGTGGAGACTGAACTGGTTGTTTCATTTCACATAAGCATATTGTTAATTAGAATAAAATGTCTGCTAAAACACGTTCAACTTCTTTTTGTGGCATAGGAACCGAACCTTTTTCTATTATTTGAATGTTATATCTGCCTCTGCTACCAAATCTTCTGTTAAGAAATAATGACCTGGAACACTCTGAATAACTGAAGAAAAACTAAAAAGTATAATTTACTATCAGCTCCTGCACTTTATCACTGTCCCCTGCCCTATAGATCTGGCATTCTAAATGATATTGTCCTTCTAGCCTTAATTTATTATCGACTTTTGCACTTTCTACCAGCCCGTCTTGAAACTATATTGCACAAGCTCCTACCCTCCGAGTCAGTATAGTATCATACTATTGGTTGTTTTATGATGTTATTTATAAATTGTATTGCATTGTGTTTTTAATTTATGTCTGTTCATGTAAGCCACCCCAAGTCCTTTCGGGGAAATGGAGTACAAAAATGTTGTAGTTGTTGTTGTTGTTGTTATTATGCCTGAGATGGATTCGAGGATGTCGTGTATTAGTAAGGGTAACATCATGTGTCACTATTAGACAGAATATATATAACACATAGACCAGAGGTCCCCAAACGTAGGAAAAAGACAGCAGGTGCAGCAAACATTTAGGAAATAAGACATAAAAAATATTTATCTTCCTTTCCTTTCCATCAAGCAGCTCTAGGAAAAGAACTGCTAGCACTGAATACCAACAGGATTTTGGCCACACGTTCCAAAAAACCCTCCTCACTCACTCACCCATATATACCCACAAAAGGTCAAGAACTACACCAGCCCTGAACTAACAGAAGTTACATTTCCTGGGAAAAGCCAAGAGTCACTCACACCTCACCTTCTGCCCTGGCCTTATTGATAGCCACCAGAACACATTAAGCACACTGGTGGTTAGAGCTGTTTGGCAGGAGAATATGTGTGGTGGAGTTTCCTTCTCTAGAGGTTTTTAAGCAGAGACCGGATAACTATCTGCTGATAGTGCTCTGACTGTATGTCCCTGCATGGCAGGGGGTTGGACTAGATGGTCCTTGTGGTTTCCTCCAACTTTATGATTCTAGGAGGCACCAGTTTAATTCTAAATCCTCCCACACATGGGGAGAGAGTTCTATAGTATTGCTCTGAAAACATTCACTTGCAGTTTGTGGATTAACCTTGTGACTTTGAAACAGAGTATTATGAAAGATAGTCGACATCATGTGAAGCTTCTATACAGAGATGACATGGCATGGCCATCCATCTGGAATGTTTTAGCTGTGGATTTGTGCACTGGAAGATGGTTGGATTAGTCATCCTTTGAATCACTTACAGCTCTATAATTGCATGATTTCATGAACTGTGTGGACTAAATTGAACTTATTCTAGAGGAAACATACAGAGTGGATAGGGTTACACTCATGTTAGCCAAAATGCTCCTGCAAAGCTCCTCCCAACATCAGGTGAAGCTGAAGTATTAATCCCTTCACATTTTCTTGGGTGAGGGGCCCAGGACCCCTGCAAAAGTGGGGAAAGCCATGAATAAAAACATACTTTTTTCACTTGAGAGAACACCTCTCTAGGTATATCTAGGTCCTCCACACAACACCGTTGTCAACTTCTGCACTGAAAACCTGGAGATTTCTAGAAAGCTGTTTTCTCCAAGAATCCCTAAATCTTGAAACGTTATGGGCTACTTCCAGAAGAAGTGACCATAGAGTCATACTCGAGGCCTTAGAGTTTCTTTGAGATAACATTTTAATCAGATCTGTGAACAATCAAAACAGCAAAAGTCAAACTGTAATAGAAATAGCATGCTAATTGAATTATCCAATAAAGACTTATAGGTTAGTTTTCAAATACAGAATTCATAAACTGAGAAATTATGGGTTGCAATTCTTGCTCATAAAGGGCATAACAAAATTAAGACCCTTGGATGACATGTTATGCTTTCCATATATTGTTTATAGCTTATTCAAAGTCAGGTTTAACTACAATTGCAGTTTTCCATTATATATAAACACAGGTACCATGTGCAATACAGAGCTACATATTCTTCTTAAGAAACTTTGCATATTACGATGTGCATGTTAAGACTGGTTATAACTATTTTAAATATATTTTAGTTAACTTTTTTAAAAAGACTCAATTTAAAATTGTGAAAAGTCTGATTACCATTCATTTGAAGATGAAGACAACACCAGAAAAAAGTTAACTTCCACAAAACTCCATTCTACATAGTTGGGAGAATAACCAGAACTGTGAATCTACAGGTTTCCTTTTTCTTTTCTTTTTTTTTGGGGGGGGGGGGRTCATTTCTCTTTATCACAGTTGGATCAAAAATTCTTCATTTTGAGTTAATATCCACCCAGTGAAAAAGGGTAGATCTCTTTACAAACAGACTACAACCTTGAGCAATTGCAATAGCATAAGTACATTTGATTAGATGATCAATGGGAAGAATCTACAGACAGAGGGGAGCAGAAGGCACTGCCATCTTGTCTTCTGCCTATATCATCACTTGAGAGGCCCCTCCCCCTTCTGGCACCAACGGCTGCTCTGGCCAGAGAGAAGACAGAGGGGAGCAGAAGACATTTCCATCTTGTCTTTACTAATAATATAATATAGTATATTGTATATACATATAATATTTATAATATTATAATGTAATACAATATAATACTAGTAATAATAATTCAATATTATAATTATAATTATATATTTAATTACATGTAATATTACTGATAATATTACAATATAATGGTATAGTGCAATATAGTAATATATACTGATATTGTACTTTGCTAATAATATAATATATTGTATGAAAATATATATTGTAAGCCGCTCTGAGTCCCCTTCGGGGTGAGAAGAGTGGCATATAAGCGCCGCAAATAAATTAATAAATAATAAATAAGAATCGCCCTTTCCTCTCAATTTATGGGAGCTGCTGTTAACCCCCACCTCACATGCGTGCACACACATGCACACACAACAAAATAGCACACAATTAAATCAACTAAAGGACAATTCAGAGTGCTGTTTGACACTTAACCCCAATCATGTTTTGTGCCTGATTTCTCATCCCTTGGTGCATATTTTGTCGAAGTCGTCGTCGTGTGCCTTCAGGCCACCTATGATATGTGGCAACCCTAAGACAATCCAATTACGTAGTTTTCTCAGCAAGATTTGTTCAGAAGGTATTACTGTTCCCATTTATTATTGTTGCAATCCTTAAATATGAGGGCTATTATAATCACAGTATCTATTTAGAAGGTTCCCACAGGGCTTCAACTTAACTTATTCCCAAGGAAGAACTGCAGGCAGCTTTTGTCCAAGGGGTTTCACTGTGTTGATTGATTTCATAGTTTTATTTGTTTATGTATAATGAGGCATTGAATTTTTGCCTAGATATATGATGCACACCATTCTGAGTCCCTCACAGGTTGAAAAGAACAGGATAGAAATTAAGTAAATAAATAAATTGTTGTTCCTAGAAGGGCTGAATGACAACTTTCATGGGATCTTCTTGGCAGCATCAATTCTGAGCTATCACTTGAGGGTGTTTTGTTTGGCAAGAGATGTCCAGGAGAGGGTTGCCTTTGGCATCCCTCTGAGGCCAAGAGAGGGATGCCAAAGGGTTCCCATGCCTTTATCATTCCCAGGAGGCATCAAATGACAATTGCTGGGTGCCTTCAGGTCATTTATGGCACATATGGACCCTATCATTGGGATTTCTTAGCAAGACCTGATCAGTTTTTTTTTTTCCCCTCTGAGGCTGAGGGAGTGTGACTTGCCCAAGGTTCCTTGGAATACTCAAAACACAATTGTGTTGAGGCCACATAGGATGTATGGTTGGTAACACTATCACTGGCTTTTCTTGGCAAGTTGTGTTCAGAAGGGAAGTTTCCCTTTGGCTTCCTCTGAGGCCGAGAGAGCCCAAGCTCACCCATGAGTTTATCATTCCCGGGAGGCGTCAAATGACAATTGCTGGGTGCCTTCAGGTCATTTATGGCACATGGCAACCCTATCATTGTGATTTCTTAGCAAGACCTGATCAGACCCTTTGCCTCCCCTGAGGCTGAGTGTGACTTGCCCAAGGCCATCTGGCAGTGTTTCGTGCTTTTATGGTTCCTTGGAATACACAATTGTGCTGAGGCCACTTAGGACATGTGGTTGGCAACCCTATTATTGAGTTTTCTTGGCAAGTTGGAAGGGAAGTTTCCCTTTGGCTCCCCCTGAGGCTGAGAGAGTGTGACCTGTCCAGCGCATTCCCACAACCAAGACTAAGGTGCATCTCCATTGTGGAATGAATGCGGTTTGGCACCGCTTTAACCGCCGCGGATTCCTGGGAGATGTAGTTTGACAAGGGCTTCGGTGCGCCACCAGACTACAACGCCTCCCAGGATCCAACAGCATGGAGTCCTGGCAAACTGCGCCCATGCCACAGGGGAGACGCCGCCTCGAGCTCCAAAGTGTGCCCGGCGACACGCGTGCCGGTAACGCGTGCAGACGTGCACCTCCCTCACCTCCAGGCGCAGGGTGGCTCCGCAGGCGCGCAGGAACTCGCGGATGTTGCTCAGGCACTCGGCCTCGGTGCGCGGCTCCGGGTAGACCTGCAACAGAAGAGGGGAAGGGAAGGGAATGAGTCAGGCGCGGATCCAGGCAGAACGGAGCACACAACCCGCTCTCCCGGAAGTAAACACCGCGGCAGGAAGTGACGTGGGCATGGCGTGGGGGAGTCCTGATCCTGCCCCCTCCCAATCCCACCCCCGCCTCTTCTCTTGACTTGCCAAGGGAATGAAGACCTCGCCTCTCCTCCTCCCTCCAGAAGCACTGAAACGAGGGTGCAGCTACACTATGGAAGTAACGCGGTTTGACACCACTTTCACCACCCTGGCTCAGTGCTATGGGATCCTGGGGTTTGTAGTTTGGTGAGACACCCGCAGAGAAGGCCCAAGGCCTTGTAAAACAGCAACTCCCATGCTTCTATAAGCACCTCCGGGTGTTTTGGACTTCAACTCCCACAATTCCTAACAGCCTACCGGTCCAAAACACACGGAGGGCCAAAGTTTGCCCATGCCTGTTATATAGCATTTAGCCATGGCAGTTAAAGTTGCATTAATTGTACAGTGTAGCTGCACCTCCAGGCTCCTCTAGGTCGGTGAGTCTCAACCTGTGGGTCCTCAGAGGTTTTGGCCTTCAAATCCCATAAATGGCTGGTCAACTGGCTGGGATTTCTGTGAGTTGTAGGCCAAAACAGGGGCCCCATGAAATTGAAAAACCACGAATTAAAAAATGTCTCTCTAGGAATCTCTGAATCAGTGGTTCTCAACCTGTGGGTCTCCAGAAGTTTTGACCTTCAACTCACAGAAATCCTAACAGCTGGTAAACTGGCTGGGATTTCTGGGAGTTGTAGGCCAAAACACCTGGGGGCCCACAGGTTGCGAACCACTGCAGTCTAGATCCTCCAGTAAATGTCCTCCTGATGTTGAGCATGGAATTGCACTGGAGGACCAACAGGTGTCTATCAAAGTATCCTCTGCAGGAATCTCTAGGTGCTCCTCCATTACTATGTCCATTGGAGTACTACTAGATTAGAGCTTTCATGTTGGTGACACACTTTTTAGACACGCATCATTTCACAACACTGTAATTCAGTTTTACTAGCAAACAAAAGGTTCAACCAGCCCCTTATAAGAGATACGGACATGACCAGAAATCATAATAACAACATCTATGGGGACACAACGTATCTCTTTTCACAAATAAATTCTTTCCTATAGACTGAGGTTTCTCATTACGTCCACACAACATGCCTACACACTGCAGCCGACATACTATCATGTCATGTCACACCGTGTGGAAAGCTCTGCTCTAGGGATTTCTAGAGATAACATTTTAATCAGATCTGTGAATAATCAAATCCACAAAAGTCAAAAGACAGTTGGCTGTGGGAGACAGTGTTCGTAAAATAGATGGTTTTTATTGGTGAAGGTGAGATTTTATGGACCGCATTTTTTGGACTGATTTGGAGGACGTTTAAATTTGGTGAACTGTTTTTAATGTATATTTATTATCATTTTATGTAATTGTGTATTTATTGATGTTTTTATGTTGAAAGCCACCTTGAGTCCCTCTTCAGAGGTCGAGAATAGGACGGGATGCAAATGTTCTAAATAAATAAATAAATAGTGTAAATTTACAGCTCTTGTGATTTTACAGCACAGAGCCATGGTAGTTCAGGTGGTGTCAAACTGCATTCATTCTACAGTGTAAATGCATCCTGACCGTACATGTGTCCCCAAGAACTGTGCAGATGTTAGTCTAAGAATTCTTAAGTAGAGATCCTTCTCCAGGTACTACATTTCCCAGAGTTCCTTACAGCAAGGGAGCAATTGTTAAATAATTTATGTCTGCATAGTGGATATCCTATTAATATGAGTGATATAACCAAAGGAATTAATGCACAGGCATTACATGTCCAAATAAAAACTCTGCTCCCCAAATTTCTAATAGTATTTCAAAATACAATCAAAGTATCCAAAGAAAAATATATTAACATTTAAAAAGTATTATATAACAATAGTTACAATGGCAAGAGGAAACTTAGTACCTTTACTTCTCAGTCAGCAATAACGCTTCTCATTGATTATTAAAAACAGCAACAAAAGAGCAACAAACAGAGAATTCATCACTAAGGGAGGTTAATGTAAGTCAATCCTATATGACAAGTTGATAAAACGTTATTGAAAGACAGCTCTTACTGGCAGTCAGTCAGTTTGACCATACATTGGTATCTGATCAACCTCTTTAAAATTTAAACATCCCCTTTCCCTTTCGGAAACTGAAAACTTGGAGACAATGGCTGTGCTGTTTCTTCCTTTTTTTACCCATTATATGCTCAGTGTACTCATATAATGCTACTTAATGCAGTGAAAGTGCATTATATGAGTCTACACTGGCTACATAATGCAACTTCAGACTGTATTATATGGCAGTGTAGATGGGGCCAAACAAGCACACACCAACTGTAGGCTCTCACAGTGGCTCAACCTCAAGGCTTGTACAATTACTTAAAAAAAACAATCCTTGCAGCTCGAAAGCATAACCCTCCCAAATTTAACTAAAAGTTAACTCTTTACAATCTTGTTATTTCAAAGCAACTAAACATTTTTGTTTAATTAAAAGCAGCAGATTACAATGTTGCTGGCCTGTGATATAAAATACACCCAATAATGAAGCCATATATACACCAAAAAAGGGATAGAGTCATCCCATACTGTGTTGCACTTGTATCATAACTCTGTTATGCCCCAGTTAATGCAAAAAGGAAAATTCAAGCATTGTACCCAGTTATTTCTAAGCCCTTCTCAAGTTTCTAATAGGGAGTGGTAGTGACCCAGAGTCTCCCAAATGATCTACAGCAAAAACCCGCAAACAAGTTGGAATTCGGCCCCTTAACCCAGACATCATGAAAGCTGGCCTTAAGGAGGAAGCTTTAGTTTGCCGTTCCCTGAGCCACCCGGACAGCTGGTGTTAAAATTAATTTGAAGCCCATTCAAAGAACGCTCATATGGCCAGCTTTCAAAGAATTAACATTGTAAACCATAGTTAATGTGAACCATTATTCCCTGAACAGACCAAACACAGCTGTCCCAGCCAGATTATGCCTGCCATGAGCACACATAAATCTCTGCAGAAGGCTGCACATAGCAGCTATTGTCAGAGAAAAAGACCATATGCGTAATAAATACGTAAGCCACGCCTTGTGTCCCAAATGGAAAGGCCCAAGATACCTCTGAACAACTGTCACAGTGGGCACACAACAAGCTCCTTCATGATTGTTTGGAAAGGAAAACTGCAATGACATGGTAGTGACTTCCATTCTAATGCCCTCTGCCGATATGGGTCAAAGACACTGGAACAACCTGCGACTATAATCTATTCCTTTCTATCTACTGTTATTTTCTCACCAATACACACATGTTTCTTCTCTCCACTCCTATGTATTCAAACACCTAGAACAGTGGTTCTCAACCTGTGGGTCCCCAGGTGTTTTGGCCTACAACTCCCAGAAATCCTAGCCAGTTTACCAGCTGTTAGGATTTCTGGGAGTTGAAGGCCAAAACATCTGCGAACCCACAGGTTGAGCACCAATGACCTCGAACATGTCACATCCAGGGCTATATAAACTAAAAAAAAACAAGGTATGCATGCCATAGGATCCCACATCCTAGTCCAGTCTATGTTTAGCTGTTATCAAGTTATGCATTTTTTCTTATAATTCATGCTTCCTTTGGAGAAGGACAATTATACATATTTCTGGAAAGATGTCAAGTGCTTTGAAGCTAAGACCTAGGGTTCTATACTGTAGAAATAATGCACTTTGACACCACTTTAACTGCCATGGCTTAGTACTATGGAATAATGGAAGTTGTAGTTTGGTGTGGCACCAACCCCTTGGGAGAAGGCAAAAGTCCTTGTAAAACTAAAACTCGTTTGATTCCATAGCATTAAACCATGGCAGTTAAAGTGGAGTCAATTTGCCGCTTTTTCATTCGAGTAACCATGCTAGCAAAAGCAAGCAACTTTTTGTTTTGGTAAGGCTCCTACTCCAAAACTAATGGCTCACTAGTTGAAATGTTTCCAAGCTCATAGAGAAAGTGCTGGTAAAAACAGCCCCATCTACTGCTGAGTTTTGCTGAGTACAGACTGGAGACGTGGAGGGGGGCAACATTTATACATTATCTCACAATAGCAAGGCACTAAAGGCTACCTTTTCATTCCGATATTCAGACAGTCCCCAGGCAGAGCCGTAGGTTTTTCATATGGATCCACTCTCTGCTTTCCCTTTATGCATAACCTCTTCCTTCTGTCCCTGCTCTGGTACAATTGTAGACTAGGTAGCAAGTTACAAACAAAATAGGTTCTGTAGGTCTGTTCTTAAGTTGAATTTGTATGTAAGTTGAAACAGGTACATTTTTAAGTGTAACTCTAGCCAAAATCTATTTTTAAAGTTTTGGATAGCATAGGAAAGGGTTAACACTCCTGTGACATTTGTTTTGCTGTCTATGCCTCTGTTTAGAAGATTTCACCTCACTTTCTGTCCCTTAGATATTGAACATTTTGGGTGATTGTGGAAACAAGGATTGGTGATAAAGCTTCAGTGGAGACACCCTTTCCCCATGATGATTCTGACAAGGGTGATTTCACTTCTTGGGGGTAGATTTCCTCTCCCTTCTACTTGTCTCATCCCCATTCTTAACTTGTAAGTTGTAAGTTGGATGTTTGTAACTAATGTGTAAGTTGGATGTTTGTAACTCATGAACTGCTTGTACAATGATCTACAAATGACCACCGCTAGTCAGCAGGGGTAAGTGTACTCCTATGCATGTCTATTCAGAACTAAGGAAACTGAAAAAAGGAAATATAAATAAGATCTAGCTCCCCAGCATAGGAAATACAGTCTCACTATGATTAGAGCAGAATATGGAGAAACAGAATAGTTTCCCTTCGCCAAAAGGATCAGTCAAGGCTGCATTTTATCACCTTATCTGTTTAAGTTGTATGCTGAACAGACCATACATAAAGCAGGCTTAGACTCTGATGAAGA